ACTCACCATGCACAATACTTATCTCAAAGTGGATCAAGGACCTAGGAATTAGACCAGAGATACTACCTAATAAAAGAAAAAGTCGGATCAAATCTTCATCATCTTGGATTAGGCCCTCATTTACTTAACAAGACTCCGAAAGCACAAGAAGTAAAATCAAGAATCAATAAATGGGATGAATTAAAACTGAAAAGCATTTTCTCAGAAAGAAAAAAATATCAATGAGGTGAATAGAGCACCTACAGAAAGGGAGCAAATTTTTACCACCCACACATCAGATGGAGCACTAATCTTCAGGATATATAAAGAACTCAAAAAACTTCAAAAAAGCAAATAATCCAAACAATAAATGGGTTAAGGAACTTAACAGATGCTTCACAGGAGATAATATACAATCAATCAACAAATATATGAAGAAAATGTTCAACACATATAGCAATTAGAGAAATGCAAATAAAAAGTATTCTAAGATTTCAACTCACTTCAGTCAGAATAACAGTTATTAAGAATACAAGCAACAATAATTGTTGGTGAGAATGTGGGGGAAAAGGTGCACTTATACATTGCTGATAAGACTGAAAATTGGTGCAACCAATCTGGAAAGAAGTTTAGAGATTTCTTGGAAAACTTGGAATGAAACCACCATTTTACCCAGCTATCCTACTCCTTCTTTTGTACTCAAAAGACTTAAAAACAGCATACTACTGTGTTTATAGTAGCACAATTCATAGTAGCTAAATTGTGGAACCAATCTAGATACCCTTCAATACATGAAAGGATAAAGATACTGGTATATATACACAATAGAATATTACTCAACATTAAAAGAGAATAAAATCATAGCATTTGCATGTTAATAAATGGAATTGGAGAATATCATTCTAAGTGAATTTAGCCAATTCCAGAAAACCAAAGGCTGAATGTTTTCTCTGATAAGTGGATGTTTATCCATAGTGGGGGCCAGGGAGAGCATGGGAGAAATGGAGAAACTTTGCATATGGCAAAGGGAAGAAGAGACAGGGTGATGCATGGAGGTAGAAAAGATTGTGTAATGAGATGGGCATCATTACCTTAGGTACATTTATGAAAACATGAATGGTGTGAGGCTATTTTGTGTACAACCAGAGAAATGAAAAATTGTACTCCATATGTGCACTATAAGTTGAAATGCATTCTGCAGTCATGTATTACAAATTAGAACAAATAATAATTTTTTAAAACAACAGAATCCACTTAGAACTGGTCAGCATGGGACAAGGTAACCTAGAATTGTCACATCAGTATGAACTTCCAAGTCTGATATCAGATGCTGTCCATAAACCATCAAGTGATGGACCAGGGATTTGTTGGAAACTTCTCTGAGATATCCAATAAAACTGGAGTGCAAGAGAGGCATGTTGTCCCTCTCCTGTGTCAGAGGACCTACTCTCTCCCTTGAGAGTTTCCCCTTTCCTATCCCTTCAATAATGTCATTCTGCTTACTCTGAGTGACATATCTCAAATCTTCCTGACTTGATCACAAGAATTCAGTTTGAAGGCGGGGTCTTCATGTTGCCCCAGTTTCTTGGAAGGCCCAAGCTCTATAATAGTACTTGCTGTGAAGATATTAGATCACACACACCTAAAGCCAGATAGATACTGATTTCTGCTGGGAGTTTTAGTCTCAGGGGACTCCCAAGAATTGTACATAGGACTGGGTAACCCATTATCTACAATTCTTATACACTCCGCACTCTTGAATATGGCCTTTCTACATTCAGTCCCCAATTGTAGTCATGCCCACCTATTTAGACTCCTGACTCCTTTCAACTCATCCTTTAACATCTTTGCTGACCTTTAGAGAGTTCAAAGATGAACTTTTGAAACAGTTTTTTCTATCTTCCTTCAAAGCTGGCTTTGAATAAAACCAACTTTCCTACCAATTTGATTCTGAATATTTCTGGGGCATGCCGGACATGTTGCAGCCTGGGTTTGTCCCCCAGCCTGACATTGGTTCCCTTGGTAATAGGAGTCCTTTAGTGTGGTTACCTCTTTATAATAAGCCCTGTGCTGGGGGATAGGCTAGCTTCAACACATCATGTCAGCATAATCAAAATGTTAATTTCAACTTCCAATGCCTCTTTGAAAGGAACGATGCCAGAAGTAACAGTGGTAGCATAAGGGTTACCCATATATCAACACACACATTCAGTTAAAAATGACCTCTATAACTCTATTAACGCAGGAGGAATGTGTGCAACAAGTAATTCAGAATAAACTCTAAATATTACATGGTAACAATTATAGACTCAATTGAATTTGAAGATGGAATAAGAAAGAAGAAAGAGAAAAGAAGAAAGAAAGTATGGAGAAGGGATGGAAGACAAGAGTTAAAATGGGGAGAGTATAATGGGTGCAGGATGGGGCTCAAGTAAAGATTGGCAAGAACAAAATTGTGTATGAGAGATTATGTTGTGTATAGGTATATGTGTAAAGGTAAGGCACTAATTTTCATAAAAGTGTTTGGATTGCTTCTTTTGAAGTTTTTGAAATGAGTATTTTGTATTCAGTGTTTTAATTTTAGAAATTTCCAAATGTAATGAAGAAGAATGACTTTATGCTATTTGCCAGTAAATGGATTAATCTGGAAACAATCATAAGTGAAATAAGCCAATTTCCAAAAGCCAAAGATCAAATGTTTTCTCTAATATGGGGAAGCCAATCCAAAATTAAAACAAGGGGAAGACTAGATGTTCAGTAGATTTCACAATGGGGATTAGAGGGAAAGCAAGGCAGATGGGAAAAGGAAAGACATTGGATGGACCTGACATAATTTTCCATGTACATATATGAAAACATCATAGTGAATCCCACCATCATGTATATACACTAAAATGGGATCCTAAATAGAATGAGATATATTCCATGCTAGCAAAATTACATAAAAATGGATTTTACTGTCATATATAACTAAAAAGAGCCAATAAAGCTTTAAAAAAGAAAATCTCTATTATATGGATTTTACACCCTTTGTAGTTTTCAGGACTAAGCCAAACCTGCCAAACTTGTTAGGTTAGTCTGTATGCTAAATTGAGCTAGCTTCTTGCATGGCCCCCTTGCTGAGGGGTTGCAGAGGGGTGAGAGAGTTTTCACTCTCCAAATGGTTTTGTTGTGTCTGCAGGTGGGAATGTAGGTCTTCCAGGTCTCCTGACCAGCTCCTCCACTTGCTTTGTCTATAGACTGACTTGAATTAAATTACATCCCTCTTTCCAAGAGTTACTGCACATGTACTAGGAAAAGGTGTGTAAAAACATCACTCTATTATCCAGCCTCTCCTAGGCTTGAAGATATGGGACTTTATGTTTCATCATAATCTATTCCAGTCCCCTCCCATCAGTCACACTTTTCATTCAGAGATTATACTGTCAATTTCAAAGGGAAGTCCTCTTCTTTCTTCTCCACTCTGCAGACTGATTGTTCACTCTGAGTTTAACCCCGCATTGAATCTCATTCTCTCTTTTATGCTCAAATCAGCTCTCAGTATGGACACTCACAGATATTCAAAATACATGTGTACCAAGTAAAGGACAAAAAAGGAAGAAAAAAGAGGGAGAAAGAAAACAAATAAAACAGAAAATGCTATCTAAAAACAAGGATAAAATTCAGGAATTCCCAGTTGGGGAATCAGGAAGGATAATTAACAAGTTCCTTCATGTATATATATGAAAACATCACAATTAATCCCACCATCATGTATATACACTAGAATGGGATCCTAAATAGAATGAGATATATTCCATGCTAGCATAATTACATCAAAATGGATGTAATATGTCAGGGCTTCCCTAATCCAAACACCTCTGCTGGAAGGCTCCAAGACCTTTTTGAGGAATGGTGGTTTACTCTCCAGGCAGACACATCTAGAATATTCTCCTGAGTAAACACAGTTCAGCTTTCCTGAATTTATTATCTGTTCTGATTGTGGATATATTGGTCAGTGTCTGTTTTTCTTGAGCTAGGTGGTAGAAAGACTTTTGGCTTCTTGAGAAATGCTTTCCTTCTGCCACTGAGGGATTGCATTCCTGACTCTTCCACTGCCTTTATTAATTCTCTTTCTGTCCTGAAAACTGATCATTTTTGTTTACTCCTGGTTGTTAGTCACTGAGTTGCCTCCCTGCTCTTTCTCCTCCTTCACCTACCTCAGTTTGCTACTGCAAACCCTTTAGGACCTGCTCTGACACTCTGGATTCTACTAATTTACCAATATCTAAAGGCCAATATGTTTGCAATAATTTTTTCTACACATTACAAAATAAGGCTTACATCAAGGGTAAGCTAAAAGACCCAGAACTTCATGTAAGGATTCATTGATATTTTGTTTTCATGGTTCTTGTTTTAGTAAATATAACTAGAGTAAGCATAGTTCATTTGAATTCCAAATAGTGTATCATATTCTAAAAAGTGAATCCCATGCCTAAAACATTATTTGTTGTTTATCTATGATATGAATATAATGGGATATCTTGTATTTTCCTCCTTAGTAAATACAGTATATAACAGTTAAAGAGAAATTCACATAAACAATGAATAACTTTCAGTATATCACTTGCAAAGTTTGGGATAAAATTTTTCAAAAATATTTACTAAGGGGCTGGGGATGTGGCTCAAGTGGTAGCATGCTTGCCTGGCATGTGTGTGGCCTGGGTTCGATCCACAGCACCACATACAAACAAAGATGTTGTGTCTGCCAAAAACTAAAAAATAAATATTAAAAATTTCTCTCTCTCTTTTTAAAAAAAATAAATAAATATTTACTAGTTATCATAAATTGAAAGTTTATTCCATGTCCTCAATTTCATCTGACCATCCTACTTGCCCTGCTTCTCAAATTGTACAAAGATACCTGTTCTGAGAGCACATCCTCATGTGTAGAACCAAGAAGAAATAAATTTTTATGTCCTGATGCCATGTACATTCCCATCCCATGGTTTTAGAAGAGAAAGACAAAAGGGAGCTCATACCTTGAGGAAATAAATAAGAAGAACATCGGTATAGACAGAACCAGCTGGAGAGTATGCCAGTTTCGAAAAGCAAAAGCCAGGCTTCCCAATATGATCTGCCCAAAACTAGCAGAACAGACTGCCATTGTTGTTCCCATAGCCTGATATTTGGGACTTGTCCATTCTACAACTGAAAGAAAACATCACTGAATAATTACTTCAAGCAAAGGTAGAATATTAAGGTCAAAGTCAAATATCAGTAAATGTCCAAGAGTCAGTGTTGACTTACTGAGAAGAATAGAATTTGTCAGGATGGTCGTGGTGGACATGCCAGCCAGGAGACGTAGTGAGCAGTAAACCAGGAAAGTGGGAACAAAGGCAGCACAGGTGTCAGCAATGGCCAGCTGGAGAAGACACCATGTCAGAAGTAACCTCCTCCCAAACCTATGGAAAAGGGAAAGATGAGATTGTGGGAACAATAACAACTGCGGTAAAAATTAGCACAAAGAAAACAATTCACACCTATAAAATATCTCTAAAAGACCAACAGCTGATATTCTCAAATCAACTCTCTTCTTTTAAAATAGATACCTTGTCCCCAAAACTACTTCTTCAATTGTTACCAGTAGTTCAACACCAATTCAAGCTATACAAGACATGCTTCAGTGTTAGGAATATTAATACCTCATAAATATTTCTTTCACTGAGCCATACACTTATGATAGTGGAGAGTGAACGTTTTATATAAAGTATTAAAGTCAGCCCTTGAGACTCTAGAACTGCACAGGTTATGGCTAATATGATGTAATAGGAACAGCTATGAAGCAGAACATCAATGTTGCTAATGGGTTGGGTAAGAGTCTCTATCTGCCGAGTTTGGATTTGTTGACCTTGGGAAACAAAACATATTTGTAAAAATATAACATGTATTTTTCACAGCAAAAGAACATACAAAGTTGACCTTTTCTTAGGTTTGGGATGGTGAGCATTGGGTGGTAATCTGGTTTCCCATTCCCAAAGGTGGCTCAGGAACACTGTTATGGATCTCCACTGGGGAGCATTATGTAGCAATTAGAAATGTGAACTAAAAGTACAAATAGAAATGTGTATGTATTCCCAAAATAGAGTGGTAAGTACACAAATGGAGAGAAGGACACAACACATTTAAATTACATGTAAATTAAGTGCATAAACCCAACTATCTCATTTTGTAAAATATGAATTTATGGATGCATAAGTAACATACTATAATGACCCTTACTTAGAAGAAAAGGTTGGGATGCTTCCATGTATTCTGAAGAAAAATCATCCAATATTCCATTGACGATCCATTGTATATAAAAAACACTTTTTATTGCTTCGTTGGGACTTCACTCTTTTATTCTTCAACATTTTAAGGATAAAGTAGAATAGTGAAGTCCTTTGAGTTTACCTACTGAGATTTTATTTTCATGATGCCCCTGTGTGACACTGACAATGTCTTTTTCCTACCTGCATATTAAAGCAGGCTGGATCCAATGTGGTGACATATCCACCTCTGTGTCCCCATTGTTAACTGTTTGTGATCTTTCAAAACCCCATGTGGTGGCATCTTCTCTCCAAACCCTCTGGTCAAACAGCTCCAAATCTTATACTGATTTCCTACACTGAGGACTCAATCTTTTAAAAACATCACTCACCACACTGAATGATATTTTGCATTTGTGTTTGTAGATCCCTGGGAACAAAGGACAACCAGGGTAGTGTAATTTGTAATAATTTTTTCACATGCATAAATGATTCATAAGCTGATGATAGTACCCATGGGTAGAGAGATCTGTGAACCAGAGACACTCACCTGTCTGACAAAGTGCCATATACAATGTTTCCAATCAACATTCCAGCCATGAAGAAGAATTTAGATACTGAATTCAATGACTGAGTTTCACATACCAGATCCCACTGGAAGACAAGTAAACCAGCATAAGAAAAACACCTTCACATGATGTGTACTTTTCTTTATGTCAAGCCCCTGTCTTCTTTTTGTGGCTTCTGTTTTCAAAAACATTTCAATTATATCATCCTGTTCTCAGTGTAAAATAATTTTATCTAGGAAGACTGACTTATACCTATGGGTTACATTAATGATTACTTTTAACCCATACTGAGAAGTTCTCAAATCTGGCCACAGACCATCATCATTCAAGGACCTTGAAGAATTTACTTAATGTTGAATATCACTGCACACTTTCCCACATGATTACTCTAAGATTTCAGTTGGGTATGTGGATTTTGATCAACTGACCATACATATTTAATTGGCAATCAAGGCAGGGTGTTACTGACTTAGCATCACATTTTTAACAAGACACATGATTTACTTGCTTAAACTGTGATATTCACAAGAATCAAAGTGCCATGACAGTAGGTTCCTATTTGTTTTTTATCATTACACTAAGTATGTGCCCTGAATTGCATAAAAATATCAGTAGTTTCTGAAAAAGGCAAAGAATAACCAGCACCCACACAGCAATTAAAGGCTCAAAGCATGTTCATTATTTTCATTGTTTCCACACACCCAAGTCAAATACTTGGAATATTAAGCCTTTTACCTCAGTCACGATGGTAGAGAGGAACGAGCTCTGGTCATATACCCAGCCATCCATGCAGGGCTCCGTGTCCACCTCACTCATGTTTGAGAAGGTTCCATTCATATGAAGGAGCTGCCATTGTGGGTGGATGAAGCGATGACATTTGTCTGGTCTCAGGTTTGAGTCTAGTGGGATGGAGATCCTCAGGAGGGCTTCTTGGCTGAGGGTCCCAGTGTCATTGTCAGAGACAGTGGCATTATCGAGTATGTGGACCCAGCAGCGATGACCAACGATGACTGCAGTGAAATTCTCCAATAAAGTATGAGTCTGTGCCATGGCATTGTAGATAAGAAGAAAAGCCATCTGAATTATCTGGAACCTCCCCAGACCACCAACTTGATCCAGGAGGTCCTGAAAGGCCATGGTGGCTGAATGACCCTCACCAACTGAAGGCAAAGTGGTTGTATCTAGATGAGTTCAAAGAACAAAGTGTTTTATCCTCTCTCACTGTGACACAGCAAAGGCTGTTGACCCTGACCTCACTTCCTTCTTAATGGCCCCCTCTTCACCTCTGAGGCAATTCCATGAAGCTAATATCCCCGAGTCATCCTCAGGTTATTTGAGTGGCTGTTTTCTTTCAATCGCTGAGAGAAAAAGATTTTGCTGAGGTGCCTTCTGCAATTAAATATGTTAATGATCTACTTTGTGAAGATTCTTGTTGAGGGCAATGAATGTAGTTAATATTGGACATTGATCTGCAAATACTCTGAAAACAAACCAGAGTAACTCTGTTACATGCTTTGTGATTTTTTTAGAGAACATGTAGTTTGCCTACACATTATCTGTTTGATTTTTCTAGGAGACATGGAAAGAGGAAATTTTTGTTTGTTTAGTACTAACCCTTGATTGACAGAGGTTGTAGAAATCATCCCAAGTTAAATTAATGCAGTGAGGTGTTATGGTTTGGATGCAAAATATTCCAGAAAAGCTCATATGTTAGGCAATGAAGGAACGTTCAGAGGGGCTGTGATGAGTTTATGAGTGCTCTGACCTCACCAGTGGGTTCAATCATTTGATGGATTAATAATGAATGGCTATTGGGTGGTAATGTAGGGTGTGGATGGAAGAAGCAGATCACTGGGGGCATTCATTTCAAACAGAAGTTTTGAGAGCTGACATTTCTGTAGAACTTTATGGGAAGCATTCAACTGTCAGCCTCTTCCACGATAATCCCTGTTGCATGAGCTCTCTCTCATCCAGCAAGGAGGTCCACAAAACAGGGTAAGGAGAGTGTGGCTGCAAAATCACTAATCAAGATCTCCGGAGACTAAGCAGGAAGCAGGTCTGATTTTATTGCGCAGTTGCCATGTATATATACTCAGGCAGTAGCCAAACAGAATACAGGCAGTAACCAATACAATGTCTGCTAACCATCCTTGCAGCGACTAATCAAGGAGTGGGCCATGGAGTAAATGCAAGGAAGGCAATTCATAGCCTCATGCCCAGGGCTGTACCTATGGGGTAAGCAGCCTGCCACTCACATGCCTAGCACAAGGGGAGTGGCCTGCCACTCACATGCCCTTAACGTATGGCATGTATGCAGTACTCCACGCACTTGTCCCCACACCCTGTATCTGTTTTATCTGCTCTATTCATTCTTCTTTCATTATTTTTTCCCATTCTTCCTGTTTCATAACCTGAATTGTTCTATGTTCACACACATCAACTGTTTTTTCTGCCAATTCAAATCTGCTACTCTGAACCTTAATCAATTTATACAATTTATACAGTTATTTTCCATTTCAACTCCCAAATTCCATATGGCTATATTTTGGAATACCTACATCTTCACAAGAAATTTCATGAGTCATTATCTTACTTTTATTTCTTAAGCATGTTATTTGAGCACATTTTAACACATTTTTAACACATTTTTTTTTATCCATTCATCTATCGAAGGGCATCTAGGTTGGTTCCACAGTCTAGCTATTATGAATTGTGCTGCTATGAACATCATTGTAGCAGTATCCCTATAATATGCTCTTTTAAGGTCTTTAGGGAATAGTCCGAGAAGGGGAATAGCTGGGTCAAATGGTGGTTCCATTCCCAGCTTTCCAAGGAATCTCCATACTGCTTTCCAAATTGGCCGCACCAATTTGCAGTCCCACCAGCAATGTACAATTGTACCCTTTTACCCACATCCTCGCCAGCGCTTGTTGTTGTTTGACTTCATAATGGCTGCCAATCTTACTGGAGTGAGATGGTATCTTAGGGTGGTTTTGATTTGCATTTCTCTGACTGCTAGAGATGGTGAGCATTTTTTCATGTACTTGTTGATTATTTGTATGACCTCCTCTGAGAAGTGTCTAACAGGTACTTGGCCCATTTATTGATTGGGTTGTTTGTTTTCTTATTGTTTAATTTTTTGAGTTCTTTGTACACTCTGGATATTAGGGCTCTATCTGAAGTGTGAGGAGTAAAGATTTGTTCCCAGGATGTAGGCTCCCTATTTACCTCTCTTATTGTTTCTCTTACTGAAAATAACCTTTTTAGTTTGAGTAAGTCCCATTTGTTGATTCTTGTTTTTAACTCTTTGTTCTATGGGTGTCCTATTAAGGAATTTGGAGCCCGACCCCACAGTATGTAGATCGGAGCCAACTTTTTCTTCTGTCAGACGCAGAGTCTCTGTTTTGATATCAATCTCCTTGATCCATTTTGAGATAACTTTTGTGCATGGCAAGAGAAAGAGATTCAGTTTCATTTTGTTGCATACGGATTTCCAGTTTTCCCAGCACCATTTATGGAAGATGCTATCATTGCTTTAGCCCTTTGTCAAAAATAAGATAGTTGTAATTTTGTGGATTGGTCTCTGTGTCCTCTATTCTGTACCATTGGTCCACCCGCCTGTTTTGGTACCAGTACCATGCTGCTTTTGTTACTATTGCTCTGTAGTATAGTTTGAAGTCTGGTATCGCTATATTACCAGATTCACTCTTCCTGCTTAGAATTGCTTTTGCTATTCTGGGTCTTTTATTTTTCCAGATGAATTTCATGATTGCTTTCTCTATTTCTACAAGAAATGCTGTTGGGATTTTGATTGGCATTGCATTAAACCTATAGAACTTTTGGTAATATCGCCATTTTGATGATGTTAGTTCTGCCTATCCATGAACAGGGTATATTTTTCCATCTTCTAAGATCTTCTTCTATTTCTCTCTTTAGGGTTCTGTAGTTTTCATTGTATAAATCTTTCACCTGTTTTGTTAGGTTGATTCCCAAGTATTTTATTTTTTTGAGGATATTGTGAATGGGGTGGTTGTCCTCATTTCCATCTCAGAAGATTTGTCATTGATATACAGGAAAGCCTTTGATTTATGCTTGTTGATTTTATATCCTGCCACTTTGCTGAATTCGTTTATTAGCTCTAGTAGTTTCTTTATAGAACCTTTTGGGTCTGCTAGGTATAGAATCATGTCATCCACAAATAGTGATAATTTAAATTCTTCTTTTCCTATTTTTATGTCTTTAATTTCTTTTGTCTGTCTAATTGCTCTAGCCAGTATTTCGAGAACTATATTGAATAGAACTGGTGAGAGAGGGCATCCCTGTCTTGTTCCAGATTTTAGAGGGAATGCCTTCAGTTTTTCTCCATTTAGAATGATGCTTAACTGAGGCTTAGCTTAGATAGCTTTTATAATGTTGAGGTAAGTTCCTGTTATCCCTAGTTTTTCTAGTGTTTTGAACATAAAGGGATGCTGTACTTTGTCAAATGCTTTTTCTACATCTATTGAGATGATCATATGGTTCTTATCTTTAAGTCTACTGATGTGGTGAATAACATTTATTGATTTCCGTATATTGAAACAACCTTGCATCCCAGGAATGAATCCTACTTGATCATGGTGCACAATTTTTTTGATGTTTTTGTATCCGATTCGCCAGAATTTTATTGAGGATGTTTGCATCTAGGTTCATTAGAGATATTGGTCTGCAGTTTTCTTTCTTTGAAGTGTCTTTGTCTGGTTTTGGGATCAGGGTGATGTTGGCCTCATAGAATGAATTTGGAAGAGCTCCTTCTTTTTCTATTTCCTGAAATAACTTGAAAAATATTGGTATTAAATCTTCTTTAAAGGTTTTGTAAAACTCCGCTGTATACCGATCCGGTCCTGGGCTTTTCTTGGTTGGTAGTCTTTTGATGGCTTTTTCTATTTCCTCCTTTGTTATTGGTCTGTTTAAATTGTGTATCTCTTCCTGCCTCAATCTGGGCAAATCACATGACTTAAGAAATTTATCAATAACTTCACTATCTTCTATTTTATTGGAAAATAGGTTTTCAAAATAATTTCTAATTATCTTCTGTTTTTCTGTAGTGTCTGTTGTGATATTGCCTTTTTCATCCCGTATGTTAGTAATTTGAGTTCTCTCTCTTCTTCTCTTCATTAGCATGGCTAAGGGTCTGTCGATTTTATTTATTTTTTCGAAGAACCAACTTTTAGTTTTGTCAATTTTTTCAATGGTTTCTTTTGTTTCAATTTTATTGATTTCTGCTCTGATTTTAATTATTTCTTGCCTTCTGCTACATTTGTTGTTGTTTTGCTCTTCCTTTTCTAGGGTTTTGAGATGAAGTGTGAGCTCATTTATTGGTTTTTTTTCTTTTTTTGAGGAATGAACTCCAGGCAATGAATTTCCCTCTTAAAACTGCTTTCATTGTGTCCCATAGATTCCCATATCTTGTGTCTGTATTTTCATTTATCTCTAAGAATTTTTTATTTCCTCTTTTATGTCTTCTGTAACCCATTGATTATTGAGTAACATATTGTTCATTTTCCAGGTGATGCAGGATTTTTCCTTCCTTCTTTTATCATTGATTTCCAGTTTCATTCCATTATGATCAGATAAGATGCATAGTATTATCTCCACTCCACCAGGCAACAAGCACGCTGGTTTCATTAAAGAGGTTTGTGGCATAGAAGTTAACTAGTGAGATCAAAATAAAACACACAGACTCAATTACCTTTTTCTATGACCATGTCCGAGATGACTCTCACCTCTCTGGCTCTCACCTCAAACCACCCGGTAGGGCAGCAAGGCTTATTCAGGGCTAGCAGGAGAGAGAGAGAGAGTATGCCAGGGAGTGGCCTTTTATTGGGGAACAAGAAATTCAGGGGAAAATTCCATCCAATGAAGGTCAAGGCCGGCAGCATTCCAAGGTCAGGGTCAGTGATTGGCCTCAGGGTCAGTGTTCAGTCACACCCCCACATGGACAGGCTCTCGCACCTAGAGAGGATGGGGATAGCTCCAACACAGTTTGGCCAGAACGCCTCACACCCAATCCGGGAGGTGCCCAATCACATGCGAGAATGGCTTCCCACACTCCACACCTTTATATTTACTAAGGGTTGCCCTATGGCATAATATATGGTCTATCTTTGAGAAGGATCCATGCGCTGCTGAGAAGAACGTATACCCTCTTGATGATGGTTGATATATTCTATATATGTCGGTTACATCTCGGTTATTGATTGTGTTATTGAGTTCTATAGTTTCTTTATTCAACTTTTGTTTGGAAGATCTGTCCAATGGTGAGAGCAGTGTGTTGAAGTCACCCATAATTATTGTGTTGTGGTCTATTTGATTCTTGAACT